GGTATCGATGTCCTAAATTTAGCCAGCCAACCTAAACTCGGTCCTCCTAACTACATTTAGCTCATCATACATGTACATATGTAGAAGCGCTCCTCGTGGTATTAATATGGGTAACTTTAACTCGAGTAGTGACTTATAGATTTGTGTAAATTCCAATGCATGCGAATGTACATTATTATTGGAGACTTCCTACAAAGGTCTTCTCGTACATCAAGCAACACTGCATATATAAATATATTTATCTATAAGAACAACCTTTCGGTGGGTTGTGTCGCACTCAATTTCAACCAGGTTATTAGCATGTAGGATCTAAAAGCCTTGGACATTTTTTGAACTCGTTCATGTTTTTTGTATAGTTCTATGCATTGGAGTATTTTACTTTGTGTCTGGTTTTAAAAAATCCTCAAGCCTTAATTACTTTGGTGTCCTTCTATTCTACACATATTACGTATGTCTGCTAAAGATTAGTAGTTTACACAAAGTCTGGGCTCCTGCCCGCCTATCGCATCACCGCTAGATAACCATTGCATATTCTATTCGTCGTTCTGCTCGTGGGTTGGCTGAATCTACGTCTTACGGCATTACATAAAGGTGCAGATGACACGTGCGGAGGAACGCGAATTGAAAGTGGAGCAATGTGCAAAGATGAAGAAGTAAACAAACGGCGAAGAATATTTTAGCCAAATTTTGATTATGACTGAAATGTTTCGCTAACAACACTTGTCGGTTGGTGCAATGCATTGAAATTGAAGCAGTACACTGATTATTAATGTAGCGACATGCATGTCATCACCTCGTGCAGCTCTCCCTCTCCTTCCTTCTCCGATTTGCTCTGATGCGACGAGATAAATACTTTTCCAATACGAGGTACTCATGTACATACGAGGCAGAGTAATAATAATAACAAGTTTTGCCCTAATTTTGGTTTAGCAGTTTTCGCAACCAAACGCATTTAAAGGCGAACGAGGTTTAACAGGGCTTTGTGGTTTGGATTTAACACACGTTTGATTTCCATAAATTATTACTACATGCATCCATTTATACATTATCATAATGTGAGCCATCTAATTTGACAATTATGTTTTACCCAATAAAGCATGCACGTATATTTCACAGCTATTTCTCACCTATAATAATAAGTTTTTATTGCTGGATAGTTTACCTCGAGTTTGTTTCTCATACGCCTAGATTTTATTTTGGTGGAAAGTGCTCGCATCCAAGCATACGTTCAAATTATGACTATTTTTGGTCCGTTTCTCGTGAGAACAAGTACCACAGAAGATATAACCATTATTAGAACGAGTGGGATGGGTTGATTATCGTATGCACCACGTATTGGGCAGCACTATCCGAACCCTTAATAAGTGGACGGATAGAGAAAAATTGACTTATTCTCAAGTTTCGTGTTGAATGGAATTGGAGCCTGCTGTATAAGTGCATACATTTATTTACTACTGCTGCGTGGTGAACAACTCTGACTAATAAACGGATATGGTTGGCGTGTGGAAAATGTGGTCGAGTGAGAAATACTTGTCCAAGTGCATTATTTTGAACGTTTAAAATACTCTTCCTGTCATACTTGAGCAATAAAATTTATGTGCAGATGGATCATACCATACATAAAATATTTCCATTGTATTTCTGCTCCATGAAATGATGACATTTGTATATTAAGGATAATAGTGGCAAATATAGTAAATTATGGACTTTGAAACATATAGAAACTATGCTGCTGGTAGGTACATACAGCAGATTGTTCATAATTTTGGACGACGATGCTGCTTCCATTCATCAAATACATATTCTATTTTTGGACCAGAGCATATGTTTTATTAGAATACACATACAGTGCATTGTATTTCGGAGCGTATGGTCTAGATTATTGGATTTTTGTCATCGTCGTATCTGAATTACTGCATAACTTGATCATTCTATAAAACGGAAGGAGGAGCAATTACTCTGGATGCATCGCATGGCACACACACGTCGTGTCAGTTTTGATCATTTGTATCTTTTAATTACGTTCGTTATAACAAATTTAATAATAAAAGCTGTTATGTATGTACGTGTGTGTGCGTATATACATGTGCAAATACGTAGCGCTGGATATCTCGATATATGTACGTATAAAGTCATTGCGGCCATCTTTCTGTGGCTACAACTGTACAATCAATTTCGATGAAATGAACCAATTGTTCAAGGCGAACCTTTTACCCGTCGTAAATTGGGAAAATTAGACTAGAAATACCAACAGCGTCTGTCTACATACCTCCTCAACCTATATACTACCACTAATACAATGGGAATGACTTCTTTCAAGTCGAAAGTTGCTCTTCTTTTGTTTGGTTGCGTCGCTCTCTGATCCTCTTTTCTCGTAATTCACAACAATTAACAGCGTTCAAGAATTCTCAGCAGCAGAGAGAATGCAAGGCAAACTCGATAAACCGTAGCGATGTAAGTACACACAAAGCACACCTCGACAATCAGCAATCATCAGGCCCTTGCCTGTAAACTTGTTGTTCGAACGAACTCCTCTTTCAGTTTCAATTCCGGTATCCCGACAATCATTGGTTAGGTAACGCTTATTAATAGGAATAGTAATAATGTGCGACCGAATAGTGGAAACCATATGTATAATGGTACGGTTGGTTATGGTTTGGTATGCAATGTGCCTCAAGACAGACAATAAAGGGCTGCTGCAGGCAGTCGACAAAAGTCAGAAGAGTCAGGAGATGCTACAACGCCACAACAACAGGTAAATTTTGGAGGCAAACTGAACCTCTTGGATCTCATTGTTAGTTTTGGGTCCATCTGGGCAGATGATGAAACAAGTAAAAGAGTGAGTGAGGAAGCTGGGCAGGTATCAAGCAGAATTTCCTTTGTTTTGGATCAGACGGAATGAACAGAATTATAGAGGAGTCGGTGCAACTGGTTGGTGATGAAGGCCAGCCGATCCAATGGGTTGCATAAACCTTTAAGGAAAACTTTGAATAAATACTGTTTAAGATTAGTTAGGTAGCTAGATAGTTGGTTGGGTAAGGTGTATGTATGTATGTATGTGCTTCTTACCTCCGTCGGCGTTTTGTCTCAATTTGAAAAGAAATACCCAAAGGCCTGCAGGAGGCAGACTGAGAAATTATTTCGTACTTGATAGAATGATGATATTGTAATGTATGCAGTGGTCTGTTCTTCGCTTAACCCAGAGAACACACCACGTAGCATCATTCATTTACATGTTTCATAGGCCAGCAGTGTTTATTTCTTGGATTTCTTCATGTCATGAGAGGCCAGGTGAATTTGGGGACGAGGGTTCGTGCCGTCATCTTTCCTCTAAAAAAGTGTCTTTGAGAAAAAGTTTCAGACAATATTGAGTAGAAAACTTTAGTGTTTCTTTGTCAACGAATTGAGTTGACGGCAACTTCACAAGATTGTGTTCTATGTGAACCAAAATGGAAAAAATGTTTTCCAACACCAGCAGGACCAAGTGCCTGATAAGAGAAACAAAGGGTGTTATGCTCTGCTGGATTTATGGTTCAATTTCGCTGATGCAATGATCCCCTATACATACGTTCCAAATGTCTCCATTTGTACTTTAATTGAATGGAACTCAAGAGTGACAATTCTGCATTGAACTTTATTATTCGTTTATGTAATATAGCAAAAGATAATGCATGGCGTGGTCAAATAGGTTTCCAAACGTCTCTCCGTCACCACTTATTTGTGACGTTCTTACGTCATAAATATTATTTTGATTGAATACCACTCGATATTAAACCATGAGGCGATAAGATATGAAAAACTTGTAATTGCATCAGTCATGAAAGTATGTATTTGCTATTCTGGAATCATTTTATTCATCTTGCAATTTGAATGTCAAGTTAGCACTATTTTTAATGCTTTGTTGTTGGCGTTGGTGGACAAAGGGAGAGTTGAATATAAATTATAAATCAGAGCGGGCTTTGAAAGAATGCCAAAGTTAAGAAAGATAACAAAGAAATTTTTTGTGACTTTAAAAAGGGATTCCTCGGTATATAGACCTTATAAGTAAGTATATGGATATATATGCATGCACAGTCAACAATCCACCTCCGGTATGTACTGTGGGGCTGCTTTATTTACGTGTCTATGTTTTGGTCCTCTCTCTTCTGCTCTCTCCGTGGTCTTCTTGGCGTTATTATCATTATTACGTGTCACGATGATGAGACGCTCACTCTCTGAAGAAGCATCTGCTCCAAAAGTGAATCATTGAATTGAAGAGAGGCAACAATACTCGTCTCCTTTTTCATTCTGGTTACATGTTTTATATTCTCTTTTCTTGGTGAAGCCAGCTGTTGCATCTTCTTATCTGACTCATAACGTAGCCTGCAGGAGCAACCCAAGAAATATGTATCATCCCACTACGTACTTCTACTACTACCTCAAGTATCCGACAAAACGTATGTATCATGAAGAAGCATTATTATCATCATCATATGCTAGCATCGTCGTCATCACGTAATCCGAATATACATGTACGTGGCGTTGTTTTTTATCAGCGTTCTTTGAGACTGGGATTCATGAGCCTATAGCCAAGAAGACAAGTCCATAAGAAAGAAAGGGACGTGTTCTTGTAACTTTGCGTAGGTATGTATGCCGGGGGATCAGCGAGTTTTTGTTAATGGAGCATTCCTTCCAAGCAGAACAGACAAACTAAAGTACGAGAGAAGATTCGAAGGAGGTTTAAGCGAGTAGTGTGGAGTTGTATTTAAACAGGAATGATGATGGTGCAGAGGGTGGTTGTTCAAAACATGGTTAGTTGGTAAACAGAGGAAAGTAATACACTCGTATGGCTGGCTATGGTCGTAGTGGGTTGTATTTGTATACATACATTTATTATTGAGCTGGTGGTAAAAGGTTCACCCCTCGGGACTGACTGGTTCTCTTGTTATGTTTTTGCTGCGATCTGCTCTTGCGTTACTTACTTGCAGACGTAATCAAAATTATGCAGCAGAACCATAACATTAACCATTACCTTGCTGAACGTCGAAGGAGAAGCACCGCACACAAACGCTCTACCAAATCATTTAACCAACTCGTTCTTGTTGTTGTTTGGAGTTTGGACTCGATTTTTTTCACATAGTCCAAGACCACCACTTACTACTTACAACTTCTCTGTTTACTTCTGGTGCTTCTTTAAGAAGGGAACGCGTATAACGATTCCCTCCTCAGTTCCAGTCTGGCTTCATTGTTGAAACGATTGTTCTCCTGAACAGTGTTCGTGTACCTGTCTCTGTGTTACGTACATACTGCAAGAGCTTATAAGCAGGAAATCTAACAAGTGTGTCTCACATTTTTATACGTTTTGAGAAGAAAAACATTGCCTTTGGAATTATCGTTATTATAACCCTAAACGAAATTATAATTTGGAATTTTGGATCTCTTTTTAATGTAAGTTTTAAAATACGTGCAATTCTCCGATACTTTTCATATCTTAGAAAAAACTGGCATTATTATGGGGAAATTCAAAGGACTTGAAAAGGTCGAAAATTATTCAAGAAGCATAACGTTTTGTGGCAACAAAATAATAATTCCTGTCCTAACGAACGCTGTCTCCATCTGATACTGATAATTTTGCATAATTCGTACAAAATCATCCTTCTTTCGTCAGAAATCTCATGGGAAACATATTGGCCTTGCGTTGTTCTTAGAACATTCATTTTGGAAGTACGTCGTGTCTTTTCTGTCGTCTCGTCAGTGACGAGTCGTCACCTATTATTATTATCCTTCTCTTGCAGTCATATTGCTTGCTGTTTACATTCCCCAGGTTTGTCATGCAATTAATTTGCATTAATTTGGATAGTGCAAAACAGGTTGAACTAAAAATTGCAAGGATGCATTCAAGAGTTTGTTCCTATCCTTTCTTATGCATAGATACCTTAGACAACTCAAGTTCTTTACGTTGCAAGTTTTTCTCTCTCTCTTTTCTGTATGTCTGGCTGGCTGAGTTGATCTGCATCTCGCCAACAACAATGAGATGAGGTTTGAATGAATGAGGAGTGGTGGAGGAGGAGGAGGCATTCTCATGCACATACAGGAAATGGCCCTGCAAAGGTTACGAGCAGGAAACAGAATGGATTGTTGTTTATGTTCGTTCTTTTTATCGTTGTAGATTGTGCTGCGTTGATGAGTATGGATTATTTGATATGATATTATTTACTACATGGGTGCATGATGACTATTCTAGTTTATTTGGTTATGTGTGCGTGGCATCTGCTAAAATAAAACCTTATGCATAAAAAATTGTTTTCATGCCACGTACAATAATACATAGAAAACTGGTCAACAATAATAATAACAAAGCAAAGTACACAAACAAACCAAGTCAACGTCATGTCATGTCCTCTCTCTGCCTTATATGTACAATATTACTAGTTTTCCTCTTCCGACATTGCACTAGTAGCATATTAGTAATTTTTGGTGGAAAACCACAAATGCGTATTGTTAGTGTTCACTAAAAAATATTAAATTATAATGCTCTCTCTCTCTGTCTGAATACCTATTTCTATTCGTAGCATGGAATGAAAATAGAGTTATGCAAGAGTCTCCTTACAGAGTAACCGTAAATTTTCACACTTGATTCAATTCAAAGATGCTCACACGGAATAGGATAGGAAATCAAAGTACAAAACCGTGGACAGATGCATTGAGGGAGAGGTGATTTAGCTTAATTTAATTCCGGAGAGAGACGGGGGTATCCAACAACAGATTTACATTTCCTGAAATTAGGAAGTGATTTCTGAATAGATTTCTAATCTGAGTTTGGGGATGTGAGTGAGACCTTATTGTTTGAGGTGGTTTTAGTCCAGGTTGATTTTCACGCTCGATAAATTTTGAAATTTAAAATCCCTTCTGTTTATCCTCACTCGCATCCGCTCTTCTTACTCTTCTTCCTTCTCAGTCTCTTTGTTTAGCATCTGAAACTACAACGGACTTTTACTTTTGCATGTCGTCCACCTTTTCCATCACCTCGTTTCTTTTGTGCTTCCCATTTCCTTGGTCGGGTTGCATAAAAAATGGAGCGATCGTCGTTGGGACTTTCTTTTCTTTGTTGGCTGCACCCCTCCTCGTCCATATCAATTTGTGTCTGGATTACGTAATAATAATGAAACCCGTCCCTTTCTTAAAGTGCCTGGAGAACGTGCCCGAGAGAGAGAGCAGATGTTGCGCATCTTATTTCTAGGCCACTGTTATTGTTCACCATAATACTTGCTAACGACCGTCCCAACGTCGTAGTAGTAGTAGTAAGCCTGCATAAATTGGAAATTGAATGGACAGCGCAATTTGGTAGGGATGGTTCATACAGGGGCACGAACGCAGGGCAGGTCCTTTGAGATAAGATTATATGATTATGATGAGGTGCACGGTGCTAGTAGTGATATTGCCATATAATACGAATCATAATAATAATATAATGCCAGGTTGGCAGTGTGTGTGTAGAAAGATTGGGGTGACTGTATACTAAATGTTTTGTTGTTATAAATTATAGAAACTGAGAGAGCAACAGACGGACAACGACGACGAGGACGCCGTTTCTTCTGCCCCATCACGAACCAAGTCCACGCCAGTCTCACCTTGTTGCGTCTTGTTGGATCACGTCAAAGGAAGAAAAAAAACCTACCTGAGGACGAGGGGAACAACAACAACTGCAACCTCCTGGTTTCTGAATCCTATTGGAGAAAAGGAAGAAATCTTAACAAAAAGAAAGGTCTAGAGGATCCGAGCGACAATTGAGATCAGGGACAAAAAATCGCGTCCTTTCAATTCTTCTTCGCCTGCTATTGCTTTCTGATCCTTGGAGAAAAGGATGCCGGGGAAGCAAGACTATTTTCCATTGAATCTGAACAACATGAACGGAGGACTTGGATTCTACGGAGAAGTTGGCCCAATTTTGATCCCACACAGACATAGTGGCAAGTTTGATGCTAATGTTGTGCATCACGGAAGCCCAATCGCCATGGCCCTTCACAATAGCCCAGTAAATGCAACCTTTCTCTCAGAAAACTTGATGTCCGAGTACATCAACATGAACGTGAACAGCCTGCCCCCAGTGAACAGTGAGGATGAGGAGGAAGAAGAGGAGGAGGAGGACGATGACATTGTGTCCCAATCCGGTTCAGAATCCGTCTCCGTTCAGGGTTCGGATTTGGACTTGGATGTTGAAGTTATGGATGACGTGGACTCACTTGTTCTCAATATTCAAGACAAATTGAGAATGGCAGCTCCCCAGTACAGAACGAGTCACTCTGCCAGCGACTACTGCTGGACGGATTCCCCCAGTGCCACTAGTACTCCTAACTCTATTCATAGTACTGCTAGCAATACAGACAATGATCTTCTCATTCTTCCACAACAACGTTCCTCATGCACCACTTCCACAAATAAGAGCAGCAGTGGTCAGCGAAAGCGTCGTACCTCCATGAATCGCTCTTGGCGTCACTCCCACCCCAACGCCAACAACAGTTATTACCGTCAGTTTCACCAGTCGGGTAACATTTCAAAGTCCAAAAAGTCTGCCACTTATCAAAACCAATGGTGGTCGTCGCGGTCGTTTGGGGATTTGTCGAAGCAATCTAATCGTTCCAAAGAAGCGTATCATCTCCTCCAAGAACTCCTCCAGTCGGGCGGACTCATAAAAGAGGCTGTGCGACGTCTCAATAGGAAATGTTTTAACTCTTCTAATAGTGGCAACACAATTGGAAGTGGTAGCAGTAGTAGTAATAATACCGGTAGTACCAATAATAGCCAGGACCCCGTTGCCCCAAGTAATTCTACTGCTAGCCTAGTTGTCTCAACATCAAAATATAGTTATAGTAGTATGGAGGATGATTCAGATAACCCTTTTCATCAGCATCACCACTCATTCGCCCCTTGTAACTAAGTTAATTATTAACTAATTTAATTTATTCTCGTTAACCGCCGCCGCCTCCGAGGGGCAGTTGTACTTGTAAATTAACAAATCTTGAAGGATCTCTGTCACTTACTGTAAGTAGTGAGTTAACGCTAATTAACACAAGAAAAGAGGGAAAGAGAGAGTCAATGCAGTAATTACCGTTATATAATATATATTATGCATATATAAAGAATGAAATTAATTATTATTATGTCAAAAGAATCAACCGTCAGATTGTTTGTATTATGTACCTATGTTCAAAAGAGACTTAGTAAAAACCGTATCCATTTTACAAAGCATGAAATGACTTGTTTCTCCATTTTGGCTTCATTTACTTTATTGTCTCATCCCTTCCTGTTTATTGACTCGAGAGGATGTCGCATCTTCACCCATCCATCATCATCACCATTCTTCATTGATTTCAAAAGAGTATGAGATTGGTAAAGGGCTCTCTCCAGTTCTCCAATCAAGGGCTCTCATAATTCCATTGCTCCTTCATCGTATCAATCAAGCTTCATTTATTTATTGCTCTTCCCTTCCATCACTTCCATCGTTCCCACAAGTTCCAGTTGACCTCAGGATCACCCAGATTTAAAAGCAATTTCATACAATTTCATGATGCGCCTGATCCAATTGTCCCTTCCCAATAGATAATTCCTTCCAATTCTATCCTCGGCATACTGATTCTTAATACACGTGTTGTGAACATGCACCCGTTATATAAAAAATACGAGACATTCATAGATAGCATTGAACCACATGAATAAGGGCTGCAAAAAGATGGAGCGATATTGAAGAACAGGAAGCTGAGGTTTTGATACAGTATCGAACGTGGAGCACGAAATGACCCGTTTTTAAAGATCAGTCTTTCAATCCCCACCAACCACCCCAAAATCTCTTTTAGTCAAGCTCAAGAGTCGTTCTCATCGTCGTCGTTGAGTGTTCAGAAACTCAAGTGGCTGGGATTTGTGGTGGGTATCGTTCTCGGATCAGTTTCAGTATCGCTTTCATCCGTCCCTTCGTTTTATCCCAGGGTTTCTACGACAAGCTGCGACAAGCTGTGCAACCGTTTCCTTCAGCTCCTTATCATTCATTATGGTCTCACACAGCCACCACTGCCAACCGCATTCATGCTATTTAGTCAGCGGAATTTCTCCACGTACATATGTACGTATGCAGCTACTAAAGGAGCAGTAACGCACATTCATAAAAAACTTAAACCCTGGGTGACATTGTTACGAGTGAGATCAAATTGTGAGAACCACAAGTTTTGAGGGAGTCCTCTTTGCTCCTCGAAACAAAACTGCGTCTGTCTTTTCTGGAGAAACGGAATGATGATCAGTTAACCCAGATTTTTTGTCTCACTTTTGAGCCTGGACTTATTTTTAATCATTCTGTAATCACTCCCTTCACGGGGTTCGTTCCCTCACTTGTTGCTTCACTGCATGGGCTTATCATCAAAATTTGTTTTGGACCGAAAATGATCTCAAACATGTGCGGCACATTTACATGATTATTGCATTTGTGAGAAATGCATGCACATATATACGTGTTGTTGTATGAATAGGCCAACATTCTCAATATTGCTTGGTTCAAAATTTCCATGCTCGAGATAATTATGTCATCACATCTCATCCGTCGCCTTCTGCTTATCAAGAGACCGAAATTAATTTCAGTAGTAATTTTCCAAAGATTGTTGCACCACTACACACTGAGTCGTGAGATTTTTTTTATCCACTCCAGAAATGAATAGGAATACACCAAGAGTACACTTCTCGTATGGAGTCCACCCATCTCCTGTATCGCCGAGAATCACAGCCAAGGTTATCGATATGATAAAGAGCGTAAGCAGATTTATGATGATCCATTCATTTCCACCGTCTAAATTGAGTACAACAATTTAGATAAGCCACGACCAGTCTTGCCGAGTGAGGAATATGCTGCTGCTGCTGCTGCTGGGATTAAACTTATTTATTTTATGAATATGCACTGTTATTACAATGTATTAGTTTTATGTGGAGCACAAAATGCTGTTTCACAAAATGCTTACTCAGGACTTACTCTCCAATTTAGCATCAAAGGAATAAGGTCAATCATGAACCGTATTGGGACATTATTATCAGTCCAAAATTCATACCATGTGAGGAGCAGGAGTAGGAAGCATAGCCGAGTTCTGTACCTTTTTTGCATACGCAACAGTAGTCTTATGTCCGTGCAATTTTCAGCAATATTTACATATGTACGTGTAGTGACAACTCCTCTTGCACAAGTCACGTCAAGCGACACGTTGCATAAACATTTATACTACGTCTGCTGCGCCAATAAATGGCAAATGAATAAAAACACCTAAACTGCAAAATTGGCACAAATGCTAATACATAGAAAATATAGAGCGACCTATTGATGCGTACCACATACTTATTTCTGAGGATTAAATATGTGCTTGTGAACTACATACCTACTCACGATTCCTACTTGGAGAGAAAAAACTATGTTACAATTATGTAGGTCTAGTAGAGCCACCACCACCACCGTCAACTCCAGATAACATGGAGAATAATATTATTCGCACAATTCGCGTTGAACTTGCAAGGATAAAAGTTGAAGGTTAGCTTACGTCAACGTTAAGTAAAGTTAATGAGGATGTTTTTATGCCAGGGTACACACCACATATTCACACAACTGCTGCTACACACATCCATGTGTGCGATTGTCCATACTTCCAGCAAGTCATCTGCCACATCAAACTCCATCTCATACTCTTTTCCTGGGATCAACGCGCAGAATTCTCGTCAGCGGAAGACCCAGAGCGTCCCTCCCTGCGTACATACAAATGATGGTGCGGTTCGAAAAATAATGTCGCATTTTACTCGACTAGACGGTGACGATCTATGAGTATTTAACTGGGTAAAAAATATCGTGCTGGTTGAAGTAGACGGTCATGAACGTTCATCAGAGAGAGATAAATATGTAGGAAGAAAATAGTCAGAATCTTAGAATGCGAAGTAATCTTGCTGGCTTGTATTCAATCCACGCTGTGCATAAACTTTGACAGAGTAAGTCCGACGGAGTAGTGAGTATGTCTGATTATTCTAAGTGGCTGATGAATGATGGGCAATAATAATATTTGTATTACTTATGCCATGATCTGCTCCTCGTCCAGACATTTTCGCGAGTAGAAATGCCAAGGAGTGATGGTGGTGTGGGGTGCAACGTCAAAGCAATAAAATAATTAGTAAGTTGCTAAACCTGTTATCATTGACGACGCTGTGACTTATGCACGCCTTTAAAATTGCCTCCGCATTGTACACAGTACTGGCCAATGCTCATGCCTCGTAAGAATTAGTGTCGTCCTCTTAAGAGACGTGTGTAGCAAAATCATTCGCATATCCTTTGTCAAAGTCAAATGTTTAGCTCGCTTTGCAAACTACAAAGTTTCAGCTTAAGATTAAACCTATCGAGTGTGTGACATAAAAAGTTGTCACGTATTTCACCAAGTGGTACCCACATTTAATTACTACTTTGCATAACCGTGTTATGCTCATTTCTTTTAGCTAACCAAGTGGCTTATCACAGCCTCTGAACCCTCATCCTGCCCCTTATCGTGTCCTGACTGATGTGGTATGACGTTGATGGGTTGTGTATTCAATACCAGAAAAAAACGTGAAATATTAAATGATTGCATGCAAAGTGGACTTTGAGAATTCTCTCTACTCGCTAATAACTATATTATTTGCACATGATTGTGTAAATTGCACACGGGATACTTTCCCATCAAGTCGATGCATGCAAATAACCGAACAAAGCAGCAGAGTTGGAATTTTGGAGGAGGGAGACAATCGTCAAGATGAACGAACGAAGGAGAAACATTCAAAAGTAATGTATGAAAATGATACGACGATGATACAGACGCCGTGCGACGGAAGAAGACCCGACAGCAGGATGCCAAAATATTTAATACTCTCGCATCAGAAACTATTCGTGAGGAGAGGGAGAAAGAGAAGAGAGAAGCAATTAAATGTGGACTTTGGCTTTTGAGATGGAGTCGATATTGGAAATAACTTTGTGGTGCATGGTATCGCTTTGGTTGTGGCGAGGGAGGATTTGGCTGTGCTTATCTTAAGCCAAGAGGATGAATGACTTGAAATTCAGAGCAATAATATTTGCCTGCGGGTTAAATGTATGATTTATTTTTGCAAATAAGTTTTGGCCATGCTGGCAATGTACTTAAAACCTAAAAGGTGCACAAATATCTACATATGTATGCCCATTCCATAGCCATCTTGTGCTGCTCTTGCCGTCTTGTCTAGCTTAGCTTTGCATTATCACTGATCAACAAGGAAAGATTTACAAATTAGCGTTGGTTGGCTTATTACTTGTTTATTGCCGGCTTTGAATAAACCAACCAAGTGATCATGAACTGTAAACATGATCCAAATTGAGAAATATCAACGGGTGCCAGAAGTTACAGATACTTGGTCCCAAAGCATGCATGCACAAGTAGGAAGACAATTTCGTCCACCTATACTTTTAACATGGGAGCTTATTCTGCGTAATGTTTTGAATCAAAATACGTACGTGATTCGCTCGAATCACAATGGAATTAGGTCCAACTTTTCGATTCAAATGCAATGGGGTTTTATGGGCACAACAAGTATGCATTTAAATTAAATAGTTGACCTGCTGTTTAAATTTGTTGTGAATTTCGCACATAAACAAGTATTTTTAAATGGGACAAATTAAATACTAAGAAAATGTATGTTTTTAAAACCAGTTTATATGTATAAAAATGGTATTTATTAAATTTGTTTGCTTAATTGATGATGATAAGTAAACTAAATAAATGTATGATCTATGATTTAACCTGCAAAAAATCTGTTTATTTGGCAAATAATATTTGCTAAATAATTTTTCGGGTTGAGATCCCTATAAATATAACTCTACTCGAAACGAGAATAACGAGATCCATCCGGACCTAAGATTAAATTTATAGGACAGAAAATATTTGCAAATTTTGCAGATCAATATGACCGGTATAAAAATAAATTGACATCATCAAACCCTCCGTTTATGGATACACGCAAACTCAAGTGGGAAGACTTATGCATGGCAAAATCAACACCGTTAACTGCATGCACTATATAAACCAATTTATTGTTAGGAACCGTCAGACTGTTTTTAATCACGTCTGAAATCAAAGTTTCACATTTCATTTCTTTTGACAGGTTTCGATATGAATTAGAAAATTCGAGATTACTTTCATTTGGGGATATTTCATGAACTTTTGTATGACATCCTGTACAC